AAATAAAATGCACAGATACAATAGAACATCTTTTTATTATCTCTTGTTCAAAGACCAAGGTAGGGGGTGGGTTTATTATGTAGTGGGTTAATTATGTGAGTAAATACGGTATCTAGATGATTTGCAATCATTCGGGGGCTGTTTGTGCAAGGCAGCAGTTAAGCGTGTAATGGGGTGGTAATGCGAAAATAGAAAGAAAAGAGTGCATGTGGCACTGTTGTTAAAATTACAATACTACAATTACAATACTACAATTTGTTGCTACTGCACTCACTATATCACCTGTTGGGGTGAAACTGTTGCTTTATTATGATAGTTCTTTATAGTATGACAGTCTCTATTACAAAGTACGTGCTGTGCCACTGTGCCACCAGCGAGTTTCTCGCAACACCACTGCCGTCTTTATAGTTTGACTAACAGCTTCGTTGTTAAAAGATAAAACTCATATACAGTCAAGCCCACTTATAACGAATCTGAGAGTGGCACGGTATCCGCTTGCTGTATTCAGAAGTTCGTAGTAAATGAATTAAACATTAAACAATGTTTATTTGAAGAAAAAAATACGTAATTTCCCTGCTGGAGGCACGGCCTAAAGGCTAAAAGTCTGACGAGGCCTCACCCCCTATTAATTAAACAGTCTGCATCAGTGACATATACATTTACACATCAGTTACGAACATCTATACACATCGCTCACATATTTCACACGTATTTACACATTTTATTGGTACAAGATACTGGCATGCCTGAATATGTTTATCTTGTATATTCAAAAAGATCAAACATTCGCAACATGCATTCTGGGCACATACAAACAAAAACAAAAGCACACGTTTCAAAACACGCTTCGTTCTACATAATATACATTCAGAATACACACTCTAGTGAGAACAAAAGCACTGTTGGAACTTATATCGCTTTAGAATCACAGTTAACAGTTAAATAAGAGAAATAAAATCAAAGCGTATGAGCACTTTTACGTGTAAATGACTACAGGTCTACAATGATGACTGTCAAGAAAAGAAGTGATTTAAGATGAGATTCAAATGGTTTAGCTTTCAGTGTAAAGTCTATATTCGATTTGTGAAGGTTCAGCAACTGAATAACTTTATGATCACTGAACAAAATGACTATAATGCGATTGATCCGCTTGTCAATAGGTCTGACCATAATAAATTTCGTTTTTTGTATTTATTTTAGTTTGTTTTTTGTTATCCAACATGAGAGTTTCGAGAAATATAGATTTTTTGAAGCTTCTACTTCCTGAATGATGGAGCCTCTGAAAAATATACTTGTGTCGTCAGCGAACATTTTAATTTGGGGATGGTACTGAACCTCTGTGATATCATTTATACCTAAAGAGAAAGTATGGGGCCCAAAATGAAGCCCTGCAGAACTCCTTTCTTTATCTTTATAGATTCGAACTTTTCACTGTTTATGCTAATAAATTGATATCTCGACAACATGTAGCTTTTAAATAAGTTGGTAACCACTCCACAAATCACAGCTTTTAAAGAAGTTGCGAGTGAAAGCACATATTTTTTTCCCCAAAATGTCCGTGATGCACGTGTTTCGTAGAGCAGAAGCAATAAGGATGGTCTCAAGTTTATTTAAAGTGGCAGCCTACTTTTTGCCAAGGCTCGTGGCATATACAAGCTGCCTGAGGCTATGAATATAGCCAATAACTACAAGCACGCTTGTGGGCACTGGCTCCGAAGTTTCGTCGTAATTGCCATCAGATTCCACCAAATCACTGTTGTCGTGCACTTCATTCAGAATGCCTTTGTATGTGCACGGTTTTGCAGCGTCGGCATTATCATCAGCCGCAATAAATAATCGTAACAGGTCGCAATAAATAATCATAACAGATGTCCCGCACGCCTTCCCATATCGGGAGTTGAAGACACACTGCCATAAATCGCCGCCAGAGTGGTCCTGTTTGGAAGCCTCAGCGTTGGCATCGGGTCCCACATCGTCGAAGTAAGCCTCACGAAAACAGCTTCGCACACATCTAGCCATCCCAGACGCCCAAGAAGCCTTCAGCATCTCCACAGTTGAATATAGACACCTGAAGAGGCCAGTTGGCTGCCGGGCGGTCAACAGATACGAGCAAGCCCTTCACAACACAACACCTCTAATAAGTCTTAAACACGCGGTTTACGCCCAATCATACTTTCAACGTTTTGTTGAGCGGCAGAAAAAAAGTGAGAAAGGCCGTCTGTCTGTCATCTTGACCACACACCAGCACCAACGACGAGCAAAAGGACACCCAAGACATAGAAGCCAGCACGCATGAAACTGCTCTAGGAAGGTTTCTAGTCCGAAAACAAAACTTCCGAATTCTGGCCAGTGTGGCTGGCGTCGCAGAGCAGTGGAGACAGGCGAAGGAGTTGCGATGAAGAGAGGAGAGCAGACTTGCAAGAGAAAGGTGAACGAGTTGCAATGAAGCGAAGAGAGGGAAGCATATGACGGGAAGGGGAACTTGAAAACCAAAACAAGCGGGAAGAAAGCAAGTTGGGTAGCTTGCTTGCCAGGTTCTCAAAATGTGCAACTCATGCTAGGAAAACATGGGAGAGCAGTCTTGGTGCACAGAGGTCAAAGAATCCCATTGTGCTGCTGGCGGACTATTGCGGCCCTGCCAATTTCGATCAATCCCGATTGGTTTCGTGTAAAAAGCCATTTTCAAGCTTCCGTACGGGTGTGGAGGGCATGCTGAGCGGAGTGCGAAGTGAGCAAGAACAAGTGCTAAACATGAAACGAATTGTGAAGCATTGAAGTCGGTCGGGTAGCGGAAGCGCGTGCTCTAGATCGATAGGACACCAATCCAGACAAAACACAAACGCAGATGATGCAGAGGCCTACTACTGCTGAACACTGTTGCAGCACTCAACAGCTTGGACCGAAAAGCATTGGCAGCAGCTGATGGGCCTCCCACATGGTCCCATTATGAATCCTCAAGATCAGTATGGTGAACCCATATTGCCTTACTAGACTTGTCTATCACAGTGGTTCTTAGCCATAGATATGTCGGGGACCCCTCGTGGACTGGTGGAAGTGATCGGGGACCCCTTGCAGCGGAGGGGCCGAAGGTAGGGGGGTGAGGGGTATGTGGGTAAATTAACACAACTGAAGTGTAAAACAGGTGCCTTTTATTAGGCTTATGCGAATAGTGATTTTGGTCAAATAATTTCGATTCGAACTTGAATAGTGTATGTGAGATAAAAAGAAAAATGGGCATACTTATCACGACCTTACTATAACTAGAACAATATATTTTTATATTGAAAGAAGGCCTCTATGCAAATGTCTTTCTTTTTCGTTCACAGAAAGTTCAAATAACTTCAGTAGTAGCAGGATACGAGTTTCAAAAGGATGCGAGTGACACACTTCTTAACTTTTTAACTTTTACTTCACATAGAGCATATAAGCTGTCGTAACAAGCTTTCAAGCTTTATAAAATGATCAATTGATTTGAAGTTAACACCTTCATTTAAAGGGGCCCTGCAACACTTCTTCAAGTAGCCATGGAGCCAGTAAAGAAGCTTCTTGCCTCGCAAATTTACCACCACAAAATTTTTATAATCAGTCTAATACAAGTGGTGGAGTTCCGAAAATCAGTCGCATGCTGCAATTTAATTCTCTCTTCTCGTCCCGACGAAACAGCTGAAAGCTAAGCAGGGAGAAATGGCACGGTGAAAGAAAATAGGTCACACGCACCGCGTGACTTTGAGCACCTCTATAATTTTTTCTTAGAATACTCGGCTTTTTAGTGTGATCGCGCCCGAACTTGTGAACACGTCGCGGCATCCCACAGCAGCTCCAGTGACGACCGAGCGCGCCAGGTCCAAATCAGCCAATGGCTTATGCAGTAGCTGTCACTTTTTGAGCTTGTGGTGCCATTTGTCGAGAGAAGAGAGCAACTTTCAGCTAGCTTTGAGAATTTACTGTGAATAACAGGACACGTGCTGCGCTATATTTGGCTCCCGTGTTCTCGGAAGCCTCGACAACTGATTGGGAGCGTTTTGTGACTATGCTCAAAAAGGGTTGCAGGGCCCCTTTAAGTTTTCAGGGGGAATCCGCGGCAAAGCGGATTTCCCTTGATTGGGTGCTTTCACGGTTTAGCACTCCGACACTGCAGCAAAACTACCTTTATAAGCCATTACATGCGAATTATTATACACCTGTTTGTTCATTGCGAAACTTCTAAATTTTCAATAATATAATTTGAATTGAATTGGAATACTCTACTATTTGTTTGAATATTCGAAGCATTCGAATATTCGCACAAACCTATCTTTCATTGCTACGAAAAACATCAAACGTGCCACATCACGTTATTTTGGGTAGTTCATCAATACGTGGCACAGTCAGGCTTAAAGAAAAATGCCGGTGAGGGTTTCGCGGATCATAGAAATGGCTTCGCAGAACCCCTAAGGCCCGGGGACCCTCATTCGAGAACCACTGGCCTATCAGATCAAAGCCAAGGGAGATGCCATGAAATGGAAATATCAAACACTGATAGCCTTACACTAGATATGTGATGTGAAGCGATAGTTAATGATGAAGAAATGCAGTTTTTAATTTGTGCAGATCCTGCAACCTTGGGCTGTTAGCAATACACATCATTCGAGCTCCAATTCATTTCTTTTTTTAAATGCATATACAGCGCCATGTTACGAATATATACTATTTTAAACTATTTCAGATGCGATCACAAAATCTCGGCATACTTTGCGTAACTTCTTTTTGCGGATCTCTAAAATCGCAAGAAAAAGTGTGCTGGTTACGCTACTAAATGCGGTTAATGGTCTGAGCTGTACATAAATTTACTTACATTGAACTCACTGATAAATAAAAATATAAACACGATCACATTTTGTCCATATCTCATTCGAACGTGACCTACCTCAATTTACTGTAGTCCGGACACTGCTCTCAAAATGTGCTTGGTTAGCTTTCTACCATAATTCCCATATAGCTAATGTACGAGCAGCACCTACCTTGGCCTGTCGCACCATCTCCGGGGCATCTCCAGTGCTGGAGAAGAGCCGGTCAGTGGCATCCAAAATAGTGTCCAAAGCACCGTCCTGTGCTATTGTGGCTCGTGCACGTCGCTCTGGTGCCCCTCGGATGAGCAGCAGCAGTTCTTCAAGGGCATGGCTGACCTGTGCAGCTGCTGCCCGCAGGTCCGACAGCAGGGGCTCTTGGTTAGTGGCCTCCTCACAGCTGGCCACAATGGCATCCACACTCATGCCAACCTCCTTGGAGGCTTCCGTCAACTGCTCCTGGCAACTGGGGCTCATGATGGTGGGTGCCACTATCTGCAACACATGTGTTCGTACAATAGTGGCTTGCCTGCACGCACACAAGCCTAGAGGGCATGGAATCTTGAGGGGAAAGCAAGGTGCTTCACAAGGCATTCACATGCTGGCAGCAGGTTAGCTGTATTCATCGTCAACACAGCCCAGCCGGATAGGATAATGAGAACTGCCAGAAAGATGATGATATGTGGGTTATTATGGCGCAAGGGCCATACTTGGCTAAAGACCGCCATGGAAAATGATAAGAGTTACAATGAGCCATGACTTACGATGGCATGTAAGGAATGTGAACTATGATAATGTTACATTGCTGTATAGGGGCCTGAAATTCCACGCCCTCAGGTGAGCAAAAACAAAAGTATTAAAATAATGGTGTGACGCAAAATGTGTACTTGTAAACGATGCCAATGCTCATAGCGATAAAAGTTTGGTGGAAACATGGCGTTAGAACGATTGCCTCATTAACGCCCTTGAGCGCAAGGGCGAGAGGCAGGTGCTGTCATTAATGTGGCCACTGCAGCAGCGACCTCTGTCCAGAGGTTGTGGAATGAATCAACTCGTAATATGGTGTGAAAATAACCTACATCTTTTGAAAACACCAAACAATGATTTGTGTTTAAAAAGTGCATCCCTACCGGTGAGCATGAAAGCATTTAGTGGGAGCTGCTGTGCAAGAAGCGCTTCTCACGGATGACACCAAGCTTATTTATTCGGTGCAACATGTGGGGGGTGCTGACACCCCCTGTAAAGTTGTTTGTGCTGCGTGGTGCGTCTCGCCTAAAAGCCGCATTTCGAGTTACATCTACCGGGTGGTAGGTGGCGTGTTCGCGAGCATCGATCACCACTATCATCATCATCATGACATAGTGCCGATGGTGACAAGCCTTGGTAGCAGCGAGTGAGAAATAAGTTGGTCCCTTCTGCACGTGGCAGTTGCCGCGAATGGTTGTCTCTAGCGTGGGTCCCTGGTGCGTGGCACCGCGGGTTGCGCGCCGGGGGCCTTCGTGGCAAGTCAAACATTGGCGACGCCGCCTTGGGTGTGTTATTGTGTTTGTCATGTTTTAGAGTGTGTGGTAATATTTTGTAAGGATGTCCTAGCGTGTTGATCACGATTTATGATCTATCGATTCGGCGAACGATATTGTCGTTCTAAAGTAGTGAAATAAATGTGTGTGGTTTGTTCCAACAGTGTCAGGTGTGTCCGTTCACTCTAAGAGTCTGGGGCACTCGCCAAATCAAGACCCCTACACTGGGAGCATCGGACAACAGTTTTGGCGGTTCGGTACAAGCTTTTCCTAGAGCTGGGGAAGAGTAGGCCTACTGCGGTGTGCTTTGTTGAGAGTGAGGAGATCGGTATTCGTGACGTGTTGAACTTGTTGGCATGTTCAGTTTTCTTTTTTTTTTCTGCTCGCAAGTGTTTTTTTTTTTTGTTGTTGCTTCTAATTTTCAAGAACATTGTTCAGTTGGGACTAGAGCCATGGGGTCCGCATCCTGGGGTGAGCAAAGCTTAGAGCACATAGATTGTAGGCTAGGCCCGAAGAGAGTGAGTATGGAAGCCTCGTGGGTGGTCCGATTTTCTGTAAATAGCTTGTATCTCTTCTGGGCTCAGGGAGCCGGGAGTCGTTGCTGTCTGGTATTGTGGCACGACGCCAGGGTGTCGCGACACCATCCGGGACGGTGGACGCCGATCCCTCGGTAAGCTGCTGTGTGCGGCGAGCGATAGGGCCACCTTACAGAGTGGACATATCCTTACGGCTGCCTCTTCTGCGCCTAGGCTGGGTGCTGGGTGAATGCCGGTTGTTGTCGAGCGACTTATTAGGCCTAAGGCTCTGCGCAGCCGCCTGTCGCACGTGGCACAACTAGGTGGATCGTGGCGTCGAGGTGTTTCACTCAGCTTCTGCAACTTTTCATTTTGAAATGCACGAATAACGAAAAGTGACCTTTGTTTTAATTATGAACTGGGCATCTCGGCCGCTGATGTATTAGCTAGCAGTACTGACCATCATACCACGTGGGCGAAAATCCCGAAGCTCCCTTCCTAGGCCCTGCTCCATTGTTTCTGTCGAGTGTTTTGGCATGTACGCAGCGGGAGTGATGTAATCCACGGCTGGCTGTCTTCTGCACATCGTCAGCGCCGCTGGCCAGGAATGCGGTCGTAAGGTCGGGCAATGGACATGCCTCGGACCTGTGCAACTGCCTGTAGTCCGGCGCCCTCATGAGTGCTGGTCGCTACCAGAAGACGTGTGGGCGCGAGTGACAGATCATCGCGCGCACAGCAGGGTTGCTGTTGCGAGATCGGTACTGAGGTGAAGTCGTCGAGCCGGACAGTCAAGCAGTGTGGACCAGCGGCGGTGCCGTGGTGCACGGACATTATGAATGGACATAAGCGGTTGCACTAAAAAACATGCCACGTTGTTTGTACTGTGTATTTCAGGGGTTGTGTACATAATCCCCTTGAGCTGCAAGAAAGTGCACATCGGCCAGACGCGTCGTTGTTTAAGTGATCGACTCCAAGAACATGCGACGCAGGTGGCCTGCACTTGTCAATGCACTGCAGGAATTGTGGGTGCAATCCGCAGTTTGGCAGCACGAGAATTCTGGGCAAATCTAAACACAGATTGACTAGAGAAATCATGGAAGCAAAACAGATTAGGGCGAACGCAACCACGTGTATCAGTGTTCCTTCGGTAGCAATAAGTGAACAAGAGGTGTCTTTCTTGAGCTGTTGAACTAAATAAACGTATACCATCTTTTCTTTTGGGGGAGGGGGTGTTCACACCTTGAAACGATAGTTGGGTGCGCCTGCACATTTGTGTTCTCGTGCAATGAATGTTCTCTAATAGAAGTTCAGAAGTAAGTTGAGCGCCTTTCCTGTCAAGTGCTTTTCCTTCTACCTTGTGCACTCATATATTTCCCCATTATCGCATTTCGGGTTACAACTACCAGGTGGTAGGTGGCGTGTTCGCGAGTGTTGATCACCACTATCATCATCATCATGGTATAGCGCTGGCGGAAACAAGCCTTGGTAGCGGCAAGTGAGAAATATGCTGGTCTCTTTTAAGCGTGGCAGTTGCCATGAACGGTTGTCTCTAATGTGGGTCCCTGGTGCGTGGCACCGCGAGTTGTGCGTCGGGGGCCCTCGTGGTAAGTCGAGCATTGGCGACGCCGCCTTGGGTGTGTTATTGTGTTTGTCATGTTTTAGAGTGTATGGTAATATTGTGTAAGGATGTCCTAGTGTGTTGATCACGATTTCTGATGTATCGATTTGGCGGACGATATCGTCGTTCTAAAGTAGTGAAATAAATGTGTGTAGCATTGTGGATTTTAGGATGCATTTGCGACCGCTGTTTACTCGGCGTAATGAAAAATAAGTAGGTTATTGTGACTTTGTTGGCCCCAAGAACAAGGTGCACATGTATTGACGTGCCAGCATAGCAATTGCCAGTGATAAATGCTTCCAAATACAATTTTGAGGCAGTTTGGCACAATTTCTATTGATATTATCAGGATGGTGCAGTAAATCTGATTTGGCGCACTTTGGCGCAGTTGGCGCAGGAGTGGGATCACTGCACCAAAGGGCACCAACAGGTGGCAACACAGTAGTATGGTGTGCTCCGGCAGCGCTGGCAGTCATTGCAAAAAGAGCCACATTTAAAGCGCGAGACGGCACACTGCCCCATTCCAGTACACCATATTTTCAATCAGACATGTACTGTATTTGTCTCCAAAAAATTCGACCCTGGTGGAGCTTGAAAGGCAGCTTTGCTGCAATACGAGAATGTAATAAAGTGAAGATCTGGAGGAGTCGCTTTCAGCTTGATTGACTTCATCTGTGTTCAGGAAGTTCGAATAGCGATTCCACCCTGAATCAAATAGAATAGCCAGCACTATTTGAAAAATAGTGCTGGCTATTCGAACTTCAGAACATTCATACACCTTTAATGATAGCACCAGGAAAGGTTAAATCACACAATCACTTGCCTTTAATGTTATATGAAATGCCTTCATGCCTTTTATTTCCTAGCTATCAAAATGAACAAACAAGATTTTTTATTCAATAACAAACACTGACATTCAAGACGGGGTTTGGCCAAGTTTGTAGATTAATTATCTAATTAATGACATGCACAGCATAAGCTGTATTTTGGATCAGAAGAAAAGATAATAAAAATATATTTTAGCCCCTGCCTGCCTTTGTCGTTTTTTTTTATATGTGTAACATTCTGCACCCTATGCACACAATTGTGTACACCTTTACTCAGGAACCGGAGCATGCATTAATCCTTCAACGAACTGAACCTCTTGCCAAATATGTGTGCCTTACTTGATTTACTTGCTGAAGGCCCCAGCACGTGAGACAAGTCAAGTGCACTTTTTCTATGCTGCAAATCTACACGAAGAAACCTACATTTCTAGCAGGAGCTTTGACTCAATTTATGCGAAAATACAGCATGAATGTCTAAATATTTATTTGCAATTCTATTGATTACTGAAACACACATCTATGAATGTATTATGACAATGAATTTTGAACAGATGCGCATCTTACATACCGTATTTACTCGCATAATCCTCGCACTTTTTTTTGCCAGAAAACGGATGCAAAGTTGGGGGGTGCGAGAATTACGCGGGGAAAACTACGAAGTGGCTGCAAATCGGAATTCTCACAAAAGCACCTTACAGCAAGCTTTAAGAAGTACTAATTAGAACTTACCTCAACAATAAAAGCAGAGGTTCAACACAAGGCAAGATTTATTTGAAACACAAAAATGGAAGCAAATAGTCGAGAATAAGAATACTATACGCGATGCTTGTAGGCGTTGCGGGCGTAGAGGTAACGGTCGGCGCTCAACAGGAGCCCTCAAAAAGTAAGCGTAGGACGTCAGTATTGGGCTGATGGCTATTTAACAGAATCGTCCGCAGTTCCCTTCTGAAGAAATAAAGTTTACCATCAATCCCAGTTTTAGGCACACGGCAGGCCCAACGATTCTTGCTGGCTTTCAGCTGCCGTCACCAGTAGCGAACACAAAACTCGTAGGCTCCGAAGGACCTACTGGCGGCCCTGTTGCCGTTGTTTAGCGCATGATCTATCACTTGCAACTTGAAGCAGCCGTGTGGCTTCAGTATCGCCCCATAATGTGCCAAGATTACCGACACAACACACAAAACACGCCGCAACGCGCACTGCCCACTTCGGCTTGGCTTGGCTTGGATTGAATCGGATCTCCGTGCAATACGTTTGATGCTTAAAAGATGGCGCCAGATGGTGCGCGCTATCATCATCAATGGCTGGAACGAGCAGACGACATTATTGCGGCAGTTTTTGGGGGTGCGATAATTACTCTAGGAAAAAAAAAAAATCATCTTTTTTGGGGGCGATGTGGGGGGTGCGAGAATTATGCGAGTGCGAGGATTACGCGAGTAAATACAGTAGATATCCAGATACATTCCATAGGGCCATCATGTGTAAGCGCACCGCCCTAATCGTCTTTACGATTCAATGTCCCAGTTTCGGGTACTAGTCAAGATGCATGCGCATTTCCTCCCTTCATTCCCCTTGCCAAGGCACATTCGTTCACACGAAACAAATGCCCATGTTCTTCTCTCATATAACTGCGCTATTTTCTATGATGAATCCATGCCAACAAGCTCGTTTTTACCCTTTTAAAGACAACACTTTTGTTTCAACAGAAGATCAAATGCCTTGAAACAATGTGTCAATCCGACCCATTTACAAACAGTTCTCTGGAAGTGGCATCTGAAAGACTTAAATGAATGAATGCACCGATGTCTATCTGTAAGAACCAGCACTTCACTGCCATTCCTTTAGCTCAAGCGGCTGTGTGTTCACAATGAAGCATTCAAAGACGAAACTGGCGAAACTTGAAATCTGAAAGATTTTATCACCGTTAAGTTGCTCAAACAAAATGTCAAGGACCGCCAGCAGTACCTTTGTGCAGGCCACGAGCTGGGAAGTGGCCAGGGCTCCCTGAGTGGCAGCACCAATCACCCTGTTCTGTTGGCCCTGGTCATCACAAGTGGAGGCCACATTCTTGGCCTGCAACACAAGGGCCGCCGTCGCATTGGCCACCTGCTTGGCTGCGGCCAGTAGCTGATCCTGCATGGAAAGGGCACACTGGCAGTGTCGGAAACCGTGTGGCAAGGGTAAGCCTAACCTGAAGCTCCAGGTCTGCTTCGTCCTCCTCACCAATAGTGTACAGAACAGCATGGCTGGCCTCGCCCACTCGGCTGGCAGCATTCAGCAGGCTCTGGCGGGGCTGCAAAAGCCACAGACCACCCATGGTCAGAGCCATAATTACAGAGATGGATGGTTGATGGTAAAAAACCTGGAGACACTGCGCGGAACAAAATAAAAGTTTAAAAAGAAAAAAACACAGAAAAAATGTTTCGGCTGCCACACAGAAGCCTTGTTCACAAATGAAATCAAAATATGTGTGAAGCAGTTCGCCTTATGTATGTTTCAATATATCACGCAAGCAGCGCACATATACTGACAGCACATAACCATCGTTTCTGTATAAAGTGTGCAGAGTGGTATGTATCACGAGTGACTTATGATACAGACGCCGTGACAGTCCTTTTTCTCTAGCGAGAACAAGTGCCTTCCCCCAGTCGATTGTGTGACCACCTGACACATGCTCAGCCAAGACACTGTATTTTCCTTTCTTCACGTACATCACAAATGTGCTGCTTGAGACATCGTTTAAAGTCACCACTTTCACCGATATACACATTGTTCCAATCTGCGCATGCGACAGCGTACACCACACCGGAGAACTTCACTTTGGCTAATCTTTCCTTCACTTTTACCAGCGATTGTGGTAGTATTTGGTCAAAAACATGTGCAACATGGACGTTGTAAGATCCCAGAGTACGGCCGAGGGCTTCGCTTATGAAGGGAATATACGGTATTCCTGCACGCTTTTCACCACATGCAGCACAGGGCAATTGTGGACGTGCAATTTGTCGTTCCACAGCATTTAAGAAAGAATTCGTATAGCCACAGGCTGACGATTCCCGCCACAGCAAGCGTATGTCGGCTGCGTAGTGTTATGCCTGGGGGTCCAGACTAAACGTTATTGCTTCTGCAAAGGCAACCGGTGTCAAGGCCAGTGACCGAGCCTGCCTGGTGCCGTCACCTCAATGACCTCATCTAGCCCGGCGGCGACGGTGTGTGTAACAGCTCGCCGGCAACACGCAGCAAGCTCCCTAAACCCACGGGCTTGGTAGCAGCCCGATGTTGCAATCGACGCCATCCAGTCTGGCGAGTCTTTCGCAATGCGTGGCAATACCACAACCCAAAGGCGGGCCCCAATTTGAGGATGCTGATGCCACCAGCGGCGGTTCTGATTGGATGTTGCTGACATAAGGGTTCAACCAAAAACCAAGCGGCGCAATGCCAAGCAGCCGACCTATGCGTCAGAGAGAAGACGACAAAGTTAGAGCGTGCGTCCAAAGACATCTTGGCTCTTCGAGTCACTAAAGCTGTCGGCCCCCAGTGCCGATAATGTAACACCTCAATTCTATGCTCTACATAAATCTTCCTTTAACTCACCGTCGTCTTGTGCGCTCGTCTATCAGCTCTGCACAGAAGCAGCTGCGAGCTGAGAACGCGCTCCCTAACAACCTTGGCAGCCCGTGACCTCGGCGCACTATGCAACAGTGTCAGCGGCGGTACAAGTCGTAACAGTAGTCTTCTTTTCTTGTGCAGATTTTCTGCACGCGTGGTAGAAGTGTAGAAATCATGGCCCTTTTGTGAGAAGCGGGCTGTATGCTATCAAAAATGCAAGTAACGACCTGTGTGAGTTGTCTTCCTGAACACGCCAAACAACAAAGTGGGCCCTTTTCTTTCAATGAGCATAACAAGGAAGAAGACCTTTCCTTCTACTGCCTTCCAACCATGAATCGAACAGCTGCTTCCATGCTGTTCAGGTGTGAAATGAACGCCTGAACCACTTCTTGGTAAACAATGCAAAAAATGTCGTCCAAATAGTGGAAAAACACCTTCGAAACTGGGCTGAATGAGGAGAGGACTCGACTTTCAATTGCTTCCATAGTCAAATTAGCAGCGGTCATGATTATAGAACTGAACACGGAAAGAAGAAAAGTAGGCCTGAAAATTAATACCATGCACAAAACTAAAGTAATGTGCCACAGTCTTGGCAGAAAACAACACTTTGCAGTAGGTGGAGAGACGCAGAAAGTTGTAAAGAAATGTGTCTAATTAAAACAGGTAGTAACCGTGCAGCCAAACCATGAGAGTGAATTAACTGGAATAAAGATGGGATGGATCACATTTGGCAAGCATTCTCAAATCATGAATAGTAATCTGCCAAATAACCCTCAAGAAGAAGGTATATAACAGCTGCATGTTGCTCCTACTTACCTACGGAGCAGAAACCAGGAAGCTTACAAAGAGAATTTAGCTTATATTGAGGACGGCGCAGCAAGCGATGGAAGGAAAATGATAGGTGGGCCGCTGCCCTGTGCAATCCCAGCCTCGGCAACCAACTCTAGGCCGTCGAACACGCCCGCGAGGCAGCAGTCAGACAAGGTCTTGACGTGCCCCCCGCAGGAGACCTAAAGCGCAGTCGGCGAAAGCTCTGCCAGACTTCCAATAAAGTTGTTACTAACTAACCAGAGTGGGTCAGTGAACAAACTGGGTTTAAGGATATCATAGTAGAAATCAAGAAAAAGAAATGGACATGGGCCAGGCACGTAGCATGTAGGCAGGATAACCACTGGTTATTAAGGGTAACTGACTGTATACCAGAAAACGGATACACACGAAGGGGAGACAGAAAGTTAGGTGGGCTGATAAGATTAAAAAGTTCGCAGATTTAATGTGGCAACGGAAAGCACAAGACTAGGTTGATTGGCGGATGATAAGAGGCCTTTTTTCTGCAGAGGTCATAATCAGGCTGATGATAAAAATTTAGGCACAAATGTCAAAAATAGGCATTTATATGCACTAAAAAAATACTATAGAAGCCCTTCTCAACCTCTAATTCATGCTCACATATCAAAATGACATGATAAAAATGCAAAAAACGAAATAAGCATTTGCCTCTAATCCTGTCTCTAGTCACAACATACAGATCCTGTCGGGCCCTCCACCCAATGCAGTTTCAAGGCGCTGGCTGTGGGCTTCTGTAGGTGCTTCAACTCGGGATCGCTGCATTTAGCCATCACTAGTGTAGTGAAGTCAACACTTCTTGGTAGGCTAACAGCGTTCACTGGACCATGCAAAAGAGAGCGTCTGCCGCTGCATTGTCCTTCCTGCTGACATGGCATATATCAGTCATGAATTCTGTGATGTAAGACATTTGGCGAAGCTTTCGTGCCACGTGTGCATTTGTATCTAAGTTGATCGTGTGCGATGTATAAGTCAGCGGCTTGCGATCCATGAACACGAAAAATTCTCGACCTTTTACATAGTGACGGAACTGCCGTACAACCGCTTATATGGCCAGGAGCTCCCTACCAAGGGTGCTGTATCAACATTTGGCCGAGCTCAGTTTTCTGGAGAGGGAAATTAGTTGCCACCTTCCGCATTACTTTTGCTGCAGTACGACTCCAACGCCTGCTCCTGAGGCGTCCACCATTACGCATTGCGGTACACCAAGTTGCGGGTATGCGAGAAGGGCAGCATTCGCTAGAGACTCCTTAATATGCCGAAACGCATCTACGGCTCAGTGGTTCCACTGAGAGTGTTGCTTGCCTTAGTTCTTGAAGCTACAAGTCGGCTGTGCAGCGGATGAAGGATGTGGGGCATTTCGGAACGAACCTATGGCGTAAGTTTACGAGTCCTAGGAACTCTCGGAGTTCGCAGATGATTTTTGGCTGTAAAAACTGCCATACTCTTTCGACCTTGTCCGAATGTGGTTGCACTCCCGCGCTTGAAATGCTGTGGCCCGAAAATGGTAGCGACGGTACCCCAAACATGCACTTGTGGCCATATTGATAACGATGCCATGTTCTGCAAGTCGCTGTAGCACGCAGCGTAGATGACTCACGTGTTCATCAGGCATACGGCTCGCAATCAGCAAGTAAAACAGATAGCTGGGCGAGTTTGTATGTATCCATGATATTAATTTCCTGTCCTGTTTTTTGTGCACGCTAGAAAAGTTATATCATGAATCAGCAGGTCATCCAGGTAAACCTTGAAAAAGTCGAGGCCCTGGACAATGCCATCCAAGAATTATTGAAGAGTTTGGCCAGCATTACGTAAGCCAAAAAGGCATCTGTAGAAATTCAAACATTCCGAACGGCATTGTTATTGCAGTCTAGGGAAAATCCTCTGGTGCTACAGGTATCTGATAGTATGCTCTCGCCAGATCTATTTTTGAGAAGATAATCGCGCCGTGCAGGCAGGAGGTCAGATCGTGAACATGCGGCACTGGGTAATGGTCCAGCACAGTACGATGTTTAGTGCCCTATAATCCCCGCAAGGACGCCAATCACCACCTGTTGATTTGGGAACCATGTGAGGAAGTGACACACACGAGCTGGATGAAGGGCATACTATGCAGAGCTCCATTATATGCAAAAACACCTACCAAGCTAGCTGTAGCTTCTCGGGCGAAAGACGCCGGGGCCGCGCATATACCGGTGGTACTGTGGTTTCTATGTGATGCTTAACACCATGCTTTACTTCGGAAAATGCCTGTTACTGTTGTGTCAGCTCTTATACTATGGCGGTAATCTTATACTATGGAAATCTCATACTATGGAAATCTTATACTATGGCGGTGAAGCGCGATTCTCCTGATGAATGGAGTAAATTAGGCTGAGCGGAGGACGCAAACACTGCTTGTTGTCAATCGCTGCATGACATACAGGATACTGAAGCCATTTGTTTCGAACATCAACTATCAGACTAAAGTGTTGCAGAAAGTCAGCGCCCAATATAGCCAAGTTGACATCAGCGACTATGAATACCCATTTGAATGTTGTGTTCAAACCGAAGTTCAGTGCGAATGAAGAATGTCCGTATGTTTGTATCGCCGTGTTATTGACGGCTTGGAGTGGTGATGTAATAAGGTTCTTCCTTTCCGCTTGTGACGCAGGTATTACGCTCACCTCGGCGCCTGTGTCGACTAAGAAACAAACCCTGTTGTTGCGGTTGGTAACGAAAAATACCGAGGGACGACTTAAAGGCAGCGTACAAGCACTGGTCAGCCTCAGAGCTAGCCGCGGTCATTTCCAAAGTGCATGCAGGGTGGGACACACTCGCGCATAGTATTTCCGAACCACG